GCTAACTCTTAACTTTTATAAAGAATATCTCTTTGGATTTAAGACTTTAGTCTTTGCAACTTTACAGATCTTCTTTATGCACCAAGAGCTTGTAACACTCCAAAGAGAAAGGAAAAAATGAAATCGCATCATATGACCCCTTTAAAACAAACATCCAAAAGTGATGGAAAGACGGAATAAACTATGAAAATTATCTACAGTGTCGGTTTGAGTGTGTGTGTGTGTGTGCATGTGTGAGAGTGTGTGTGTTTGTGTGAGTGTGTTTGAATGAATTATACCTACAGGGAATTATAAACGTGTGAGTGTGTGAGGGTGTGTGTTGAGTGTGTGTTTGCATGTGTTTGTGTGAGAGTGTGTGTGTCTGTGTGTTTGAATTAACTATACCTACAGGGAATTATAAACCCTCTGTACACATATAGGGACAGGTCCAGTCTTTTTGAAAATGAAAGCCTCCAAAAACGACATGGTCTTTCTCAAACATGTTGGGTACGCAACATTGTATATCTGGTACAATGAGTAGAGGAGGCTGACAGCCAGGGAAACATCAATGCCCCCATCATCTTCAACCATGTCCTCTCCATCCATCTGAATGGAAATGGAGCCACTGGCTAAAGGGTTCCCATCTTCACAGGCATTTAGGATGATGGTTGGGGTTGGGTATATATATATATATATATATATATATTACTTTGCTTAATATTTTAAAGGGGTCATGAACTGAGAAACTGTTTTTATTATGTGGTCACTATTGCTTTGTCTGTTATTACAGATCGTTTGATATGTACTGAGTATTTAAGCATTTTAACCTAAATCACAGCAGCGTCCATCTGTGAAGGATGTAAGCTGTCAAACACACAACTGTTAGCCAATCATAGCACCATAAACCGGGACAGAAAATATTCTAATACTTATTTTTTTTAATGTAAAAATAATCTTAATTACATTATAAAAGGACCTCAGAGAACAGTACAAAATAAAAAATGGGTAGTTCATGACCCCTTTAATGTCTGGAAAGTGCATACTTTACGGAGTACATACACTTAGTTTAATTTCATTTTAAGTAATACAGTGATACCAGGGGCGTACTATTAGTGAATTGAAGTATGTTGATAAGTACACACCATTTCTCTCTACTTCGGTCTCGCATGCATCCAATTTCAGCTTCAACATTTGCTTCAGTGCTGTGTTTGGAGCCTTCTCCACAAGTTGGGGAGAAAGTTTCCTCAAATTTGTGACAACACACTTGTCAGCGTCAACATTTGTGATGTTGCTCATTTCCTCTAGAAGCTGATAAATAAAAAAAATAGATCATAAGAAAAGTGGAGATACAGAATCATAATCTTTTATTTAAAGTAATTTCAGAGAAGAAAATCATACACAGTCAAGATTAGCAGATAACATTTCTCATAACATAAGATTAACTTGTAACATAAAATGTCAGATACAAGATAAAAGTTTCCAAATCAGACAACAAATAAACATTTTAAATTGGTCAATGACAGTTCATTTTATAAATCTATAGTATGTTTGTCATTTTTCTTCATAATACAAAAGCATTTGTAATGCACTAGCTATTAACCACAGTATTCATTAAAAAGTGTTGCCAACATCAATTACACTTACGGTTAACAGAAACAAGACCAGAGGATAACATTTCTCATAAAATAAGATCAACTTAATCTCATAAGAAAGTCAGATACTTTTTGATACATATAAATAAACATTTTAGTTCAGACAAACATTCAGGCACATATTTTGAAATTGTTCTCAATGACAATCAATGTTGTAAATATTGTAAAATTGTAAGTGTGTGCTAATTGTGAAGTAATACTTCTTGTTACATCCACTAGTTGTATTTGATGAAGAATACATTTGGGCCACAAAAGAGGCAACACAGTAAGTAGGAATGTCAGTTTTAAAAGGAAGAGAATGTGGTGTTTCAATATTAGATGTCCCAGTCTTAGAAAGTGAAGACAGAACTAATCTGTGGTGGACAGAAGTTTCACACCTAGAATATCTTGTCCACAGCACGTCAGGCCCTCATCCACAGAAATGGTCATTTTGTCAATCGTCGCAATGATGTATTGTCATGTTGTGCTCTTCAAACTCTCAATGTAGATTGGCTGTGGTCTGGTCTTTGATGCGGTCTCAAAACTGCTGCAGAGGGATGCAATATGGCTCCAGGCTTAAAGTTAAGGGGAAAAAAAACAAATACATTTCAGGAGTTTAGAAAGCATCAAGACATCATTAAAAGAATAACTGTCCATGTAAAACATACCGGTACAAATGGAAATTGAAGGAATGAAATTTCCTATTTAACACTGCAGCGACTTCCAGGCAACGGTGGCAGAAGATATGCCAGAACAACCAGCATTGGGTAGCACTTTTCATCTGAAAATTAATAAAAAACAGATTAGAAATACAATAAATATTTAAGTGCAGGATTAAGAGCAGCATAAGTAGGGTTGTTGTGATAATCACAATATTGCAATACCACAATACTGACAAGCCAGCTGCACAGGATGGCAAATAATTTTCTTTAAGGCTAAGCCCTTCTCATTTTACACCAAATGCATGTGTTTTTAATGTTAAATGAGTTAATTTTTTTCTTTAAGACTTTGTGTACCATTGTGATTATTCACAGCGGCTCCATAGATCTGCACTAAAGAAACCTAAACAGTCAGAGATCAACATGTGCAATTACCTGCATCTGTCCTTCTTCAGGTCAAGTCATATATTAATGAATATTTGTTATAATAAATTATACACAAGAGATGTGTGTAAGTAAAGAGTTCACACATACATACCATTTGCTTGGTCTTCCATCCCCTCTATAACAGATGCAAAGTCATTCCTTTCCATGGTAGCTTCAGCTTTCAATTTCTCAATCTTTCTATATACATTTATATAAAAAACTGTTACTAACAATATCAGAACTTTTGCATTGTCTGTTAAAATATCTTAAAGGGATAATTCACCTAAAAATGAAAATAATGTTATTGTTTCT